TGTATTACATGCGCCCCACGCTTTTCATTTTCAATTTCATAGATTGTTTATAATGACTTTTGCTAAAATTTCAAAATCAAAAGTTATCAAAACAAATTCTATAGGACTGAGAAGTATTATTTTCTACTTTTTAGTCCATTTATAAAAGCGTTGTATATTAAAAAGTTTTTTTTAAATTATTTATTTTTTTTTGATAACTGTGCGACAGCTCAAATCGGTATTGAGTAAAACCAAATGCAAGAGATAGTTTTTGAATTTCATTGAGTTTTTTTAATAAATACTAAAATTAGAGGTGTATGAATGGCGAAAGAAAAACTTTATCCGATTTTTTTAAATCGAAACTACATTTTTACATATGCGCATGCATACATAAATATATTTAATATGAAATTGAAATTTCCATATCAATTCGCGCTATCTTCAAACGCATGGTTTCAATTGTACGCATATCGTCAGGGTTTTCCTCACAACTTGGTTTTGCTGCAGTGAAGCGACAGAGCAAGTGACGAGAAAAAATGTATGCGGACACTTACATACCCTAAAAGAATTGTGTGATGGAAACTAACACATTCTCATTTATCTTACTAACACATTTGCAAATTTTGCGTTGGTTAAAAAGAGACCAATATATAAGGCCATAAGTTGGAGGAAGACGGAAGATCATATGTACACAAATGTTTACATCAGATTTTTCACACTGCCGTTTAGAATGTGATAGAAACTTGTAGGTAGCCAGTGACAGAAATCTCTATCAGCCTTGCCAGTCAAATGATTTGTCAAATGATGGTCACTGTTCTTGCAGGGTATGTATCTATGCACATATGTATGTATCTATGCACATATGTAGATATCTATGCACATACATACATATGTACTTAGGTATGTATATCAGCATTTTAGTTGAAAGTACGTTTTGCTCGTCGCTCTCTTCATCGCTCCACTACATTCCTGTCCTTNTTTACTCGCAGTAGTTGCGGAAGGCAAAGTAAATACTCTACGCGTCTTGCTATTGATCGGTAGTTTAGGTACGCTTGCAGAAACTGGTTTATGCTTACTCACACTTGACCCTAACGATGAGAGTAAAGGAGGGAAAGTATTTGCGCGGCGATCGGATGTCTTGTTAGGCCGTTTAAATGGAATTACGCAGGAGTTTAGTAGCTACTGCTGCTATGAAGTAGCAAATGCAATCACTGCATGTACATACGTACATAAAGCCGCAATTAATTTCATTTAAAGAAATGGCGTATCGTGCGGTTCCGCTAAAGCGTAGTGCATATTTTTGGGCGTATTGCGTAATGTGGCTGATAAATATTTAACTACTTTCGCCAAGGTAGATGTCTAGACTAGTTTTTGAATATTGTATGTCTGGACAAACAAGATCCTGAAATGATAAAAACGTGGTAAAAACTAAGATAGTTAAGCGGATGGGGTAAGTGACCGCAGTACTGTGGTTCAGAAATCAAACTGTGTTGGAGACAGTGTTGCCAGGCCTTAAGCATGAGAAAACGTCTCTCTTGGTCTGAAAAAACGTCATTTCCTACCCAAAAACGTCTTATTCAAATGAATGTACATAAAATTGTTCTTATTAAACTTTTATTGTATACAAAGGTACATGTGTAAGTAAGGTATATTAAAATATCATTGCACATTTAAAATTCATTGTAAACTGGTTTGAGATCGTTAATAAAAAAAATCATTTTATACATACAGCTGATTAAGTCATCACCATTTTGATCGATTTTGGCTGTTTCTCTTTTGTTTATTTAATGTTTATTATTTTTCCATAAAAGCTTATTATATAACAAACAAAATATAAATCCACATTTCAAACTTTGTGCAAAAATTATAAAAAATCTGCAAAGCTTCAGCTAGATTTTCAACTTTTTATTTAGATTTTTTAGAATGTTTTTGAGTATGCAGTTTGATAGCCCATTAAATTTCAGGGCAATAACGTGCAGTTTTAGAGGGGCTAAATAATCGCGTTGATGTTTAATAATTTTTTTTTCTTGTAGACACTTGGTAAGGGGGTCGGCTGTCGAAAATGCTAAATTACGTTCTGTTAAGAAGGAGCAGAGCAATATTTCAGCCTTTTTTGCGTTCATTACATTTTCAATGAAGTCTTAAAAAAGTCGCCTACTTTTTTCTGACTTTTTATGCTGCTACAGCTTTTTTGATGCTTTTGCGAGCGTGCATGTTGCAAGAGAACAGCTCTTCCTGATTTGGCTTTTAATGTGCAATTGCAAACATTACAATAAACCTCCTAACCTCAAGTATCTACACAACCAGCCTTTGAACACGGTCCAAGAATCAAAAAAAAAACTGCGCGTACGGTTGGTATGCATCATATTAAAGTCATCTGTGTCCAACGAATAAATATCTTTTGAAGAAGTTGCTGCAAAACACAAAGCTTGTAAAGATTTATTAAGAAAATAATTCAAAAACAGTTTTACTTACAAGATTTAGTAAAAGAAAAAAATTCCTGGGAAGTTAAAAAACGTAATTTTTTACACAAAAAACGTCCAAACGTCAGCAGGATACAAAAAACGACCAAATGGCGTTAAAAACGTCAACCTGGCAACGCTGGTTGGTGATGTGATTTTTTAATTTGCTCTTATAATGCTTTAATTTTAAATTTATGGAAGATATATTTTATATGTCGTCAGTAATATTGCAAAGTCTAGTCTAGTCTGTTGCCTGGACCGGAATGCATCTTTGAGTCGTTATACTCCCATAAACTAATGGCAGAACTATCTGACTTTGGCTGATGAAGATGAGCGACAAGCAGAAGCGATAAGTTACAGGTGACAGATCATTTAAGCACCAAAGGTAATAGTTGTCATAGAAGGTTTTGCAGTATCACCGTCTATATAGAAATAAATATCTACATACACATACATACATACATAGTAATAGCCTTTAATAAACATTGGGCCGTATGCATAAAACCTAAACAAATGCTTTTCTTAAAATTTCAGACGTTTTACTCGATTTGTTCAAATAAATATAAGTTTAAGGTTTAAGAAAGAGCAATTGCTTAGTTTTTATGCATACGGTTCATTTAGTCACTTTCGCTTCCTTCTTTACAGTGTAGTTCTTCATTTAGTTATCTATTAAAGTCGAGTTCCTAACCAAGCGTTTTTTTTCATCTATGAATAAATACCTTTTTGATGATTGATTATGTTGTCTTATGTTTTCAGATGCCATATTTAAACCCTGCTCGTTCGTTGGGTCCATCTTTTGTTTTAAATAAATGGGATAATCACTGGGTTTACTGGTTCGGTCCGCTTGTCGGCGGTATTTCATCAGGTTTGCTTTATGAGTATGTCTTCAGTTTGCGTCGAAATTCACGAGCACATAAATCAAATGTAGATAGTGACTCATTCTCTATTCATTCCGAGGACGATATGAACTATGATGTGGATGTTGAAAAGCCCCACATGCCTGCTAAATATTCACATGGCACATACCTCCGCGGTCAAACAAATACCAAATCAACAATCGCAAGCAACGCTGGCACCATTCCTACTGGTGGTAACTACTGTCAGAACTTATATACAGCCCCTCCACTAAATAAACTCGACCAACCAGAACCATTATACGGAGGTACTCGCTCCCTATATTGCCGGTCACCTACGCTTACCCGCACCAATTTAAATCGCTCACAGTCAGTTTATGCAAAGAGTAACGCAGCAATAAATCGCGATATCGTTCCTCGTCCAGGTCCCTTAGTACCGGCTCAAAGCTTGTACGGCATGCGAGGGACACAAGCGCAAACACAGGCTCAATCATCTAATCTGCAAAATCAAAACGTACAGAATCAGTTGCAGCAGCGTTCAGAGAGCATTTACGGCATAAGGGGATCAACGAGACAATCACAGCAACAACAACAACATTCGCAACAACAACCTCATCACCACCATCAACAGCAGCAACAGCAACAACTTCATCAACATCAACCTGCACAGCAACCTACTCATCATCGACTGCAGCCCACTAGTCAGGAAGGCCAACAAGGCTTTCAGCCCGTATACGGAACTCGTCACAATCCTAATCCACACGATGGTAATCTCAAATATGATCGTCGACCAGAATCGGCATACGGCATGACAATGCACCGTAATCGTGGCCAATCGGCGCAGTCGGATGACAGCTCCTACGGATCCTACCACGGATCAGCAGTCACACCTCCTGCCCGTAACCAAACCGGCGGCGAACCGATACTTATGTACGCACCACCACCACCAATTCCATCAAATCATTCCCAAGTTGGTGCGCCACCCATGCGCACGCAGTCAGAGCGCAAAGTAACTGCACCAGTTGTGGTGTCACAGCCGCCACAGATCACAACCGGTATGGTCACATACTCGACGAGTTCGAATCAATCCCTGCTATCAGCAACCCCGGCCCAACAGACATCACAACAGCAGTCACAGCAACAGCAGCAGCAGCAACAATCGCAACAACAACAACAGATTTTAGTACAACAACATCAAACATCTCAACAGCCATACTATGGCATGTTACCGATGCGAAGCAATTGAAGATGGCGCTGATGGTGCCCGTGAATACCGAGTGATTGTCTGAACGAAAGTTTATAAACCAAAAAACGCTTTCCGAACATTAAAATAAATCAAAACGTCTGTATACTTTTATGTACATAAATTGTAAAGAGAAAATTAGCAAGGCAAAGAATTATTTATGTATTCGACATAACGCATCATTTCATGAACTGATCTAGATTTGATTATAAAGGCAACGAACTGATGATATACATATACACAAAAAAGCCAATACGTACAAACTTGAGCTATTAAAATTTGTTTAAGTGGTCTTCCTTCATGATACCAAAATTTTTATGTTCCACCTCTCGATACGAATGTCTTTCGGCTAAAATTACCATTTTCATTGCAGTTTTATGACAACCCATGAAACAAACTATTAAATACTGGGATTAACGAAAAGAAATCGGTCTAAACTCGTATTGATACCAACTTCTGGATGGGTTGACGACTCCCATTTCGCATTGATTCGTCGTAGAGTTAAGATGGAAGTCGGAATTAAATTTTATTCATTCTAAAGTTTTTGTTCACTCTATAAAATCACACTCGAAATTGTTTTTGTGTGGTAAGCCGTTTATTATGTTTTTATGTTCACCTTATATGCGTAATTAAGGAATCCAAGCAATTAAGCTCAATTTACCATACAAAAACTGGATTATTTAATTGTGCAATTAACACCTAATTACATCTAAATGGAGTCAGATTTGCCAGGCATATTCAGTGAGAAAAGAAAAGTATGTTCAAATAGAAAACCAAATTTCATGAAAATAGAGAATCAAAAGGACAAAATCAAAAACAAAACGAAAAATTAAGTGAAGACAGCCCATGGGATGTACATTTTTATATACCAACTCCCACAATGATCTTCGGCTGCGTATTGCTCTAATTTTGCAATAAGCACTAGCTCCATTCTCCGTAAACTTTGAACAAACTGCAAAACTGGCTTTTAAAAAACCAGGGCTTGAATCGTCACATACGATATCGTAGTACTCGTCACGTAAAGACACATTTTTCAGATTATGACATACGTGAACGTACTCTTTACCCCATTCTGCTTATACGACTGACCGTATCACGTAATTTTCTTTCGTATGGTTTTCGATCCGTGAACGGATGTTACGATTCGAGCCCAGTCTACAATCAAAACTCGCTTGACTGAAAGAGTTCTAATGTGTACTATTTATTATATGATCTAGCGAAATTCTTTCAAATATGAATTTTTTTAAATATTTCGATACTTACATACATACATGTGAAAAAAGTTTCAAACAAAAACATTTTCAGTTGTCAAATGATAATTGTGCAAACTGAATTGGGTGATTGTGAAAATTACAGTCAGTAATTCAATTTAACACTTAATTGCCTTAAATGCAGTGGAAATCTGAACATAGTATTACCCATGATACAAAAAAAAAGTACAGTAAAACCCGCTTAAGTACCTCGATGCGGGCACTTAAGCGAACATAATTACTGATTTAGTTATGAATCAAGTTAAAAATCAAGATCGTAGTATTATTTAAACACATAAATAAAAACTATATTTTGAAAAAATAAACGAAGCAATATTATGTAATTTTTATCAATAATTCAATTCTTTAAAAAGTCATTGATTATACAAGTTGACTTAACGCTACCTAATGGATCACTCTTTGCTCACGTTGCCAGACCCGTGACATCATTACTCCACGTAGGCACCCCTATTCTGCAACTCTTTCGTATTCGGATTTTGCTACGAATCGAAGAAATAGTATGCTGCAATCCGAATCGTATTTTCGAACTTTCGAAATTCGTAACAATGGCATGCCTAACAAAGAACGAGTAAGCTTTTTTGCGTAATTTTGTACGAAAACAATTCTGTGTCGGAGGCGAGATAAAAGATGTAAATCGATGTGTGTTTGCAGGAAGTATTAATGGCGTTCATTTAAACAGATAAATTTGCATTTCGTATATACGTATATTTTTACCAACTCCTTTATATAAATGAACAAAAAAAATCTTTCTTGCCCTTATCGAGAAACTTGGGTTCGGTTTAGTTATTTGTACAATGATTTTCGGTTGTTGTGTCCAAACGCATAACCCGAATCTACTTTTACATACAAATTAAACTTTAATTTAAAATAAATCTTTCAAATTTCAGAGCAATAGTTTTATAATAAATTCGGTTTGCACTATGCACTTTTTTGTAAATTTCGATGTGGGTTCTGCGCAAAAATACTGTGGATGGCGTAGCCGGAGTTATATGCACAAGAAATGTTGTATGCCTTTGACATGTGGATTCCCTCACTTCTCCGGCAACACAGAAAGGAGAATTATACTTAGTGAGGGTTATAATCCCTAAGCGCGTCCGAAGGCAGAAGCAAGCGCAACAGGTGGTGGACCCAACAAAGTGCATATTTTCAATGGCTTGTATTGAGAACCAATTCTTCAGGCATAGGAAGTTGTGGTTGAACAATTAAACCAGAAGCTGACATAGATGCGTCCATGGTTACTATGCCCGACAGCCCTGTATATCTTTATGAATTCACTTCCATGGCGCGCTCTTACTCTGCTGCTATAACTGCAAATGGAATAGAATCCATCGTTTCCTTCAAAATATGTAAAATCAAAAAATTTTACAATAAATAAGCACTTGATTAATGTTTTGTTAATTCCTTTCCACTTTGTTTTCCTTCATACAGCTGTCTTCGAAAAACGACTGATAGCTGCCAATGCTGCACAGGTTTCCGCAAGTGTTGCAGCATGTCGATTTTTCGTTTTTCGTAACGTAGCTACGAATTACGAAAATTCGGGTTCCAGAATAGGGGAGGGTTTACCGCAGAACTTTTGCTGATGCAGCACACGTGCAACAGCGCGATCACGTTGGGCAAACACAACCAGCGAAAGCGTGAGAATTGCAAGGTAGGCAATATCGGCCTACACGCGCAACCGATCGATTGGGAAATACAAAAGCATGGGAACTGCAACATAAGCATAATTGGGTAGGCTAAGAAGTTAGTTGGTTTTTTGTTTTTTTTTGTTTCGAAGGGGGAATCTTACATAGATACCGCCAACCATGGACGGCATGCACGATTCATACTGCTCGCTAAAGGTACACCTCATTCGGGACCGCGCACAGACAGTATTTTCTTACTATACTGGACTTGCGAAACAGTACGCCTACGTACTAAACCCTTAACTCCGACTTCTGTAGCTTGTATTTGGCCCTGCGGGACCGCCGTTAGGCATTTCTTCGCAGGGCTAAGCTAGGCCAGGAAGGCTCTTCACACATTCCGTACAGAGTTATTCATCACTTGCGCATCTGCACATCTCCGCTGACACTCTTTCTTTCTTAACTCCTGAAGCGCTACTGCGGACCGTTCCTTCATCTGAGCCCACACCTGTTTCGATTTCAGCATGTGGCTCACAAAGTTATCGGGTGTCATCCTTTCTTCTATTAGCCTCTCTATGGTTGTTATTTCAGCTACATATCTCGAACAGGAGAAAAAGATATGCTCTACGCTTTCACCGACACTGTTTCAGAAGGAGCACTCTGTCGCATCGTCGTGACCAAATCTGAGGAGGTACTCCCTGAAACAGCCATGTCCTGTCAGAAATTGCGTCAGGTAAAAGTCTGTCTCTCCGTGTCTTCTCTGGACCCAGGCTTGCACGTTCTTGATGAGCCTATACGTCCATCTTCCTTTTCTTGCCGCGTCCCATTGTGTTTGCCACTCGTCGAGGCTCATTTGTCTCTCCTCTTTGCGTTCGTCAGCCGTTAGTGGCCTATTCCTGCTTTTTGTTCTACTGTAGACTCTGCCTAGCTCCGAGGCCATTATGTCCGGCGGCATAATGCCGGATTAATACCAACCGCTTCATGCGACACTGTTCTGAAAGCGCAGGCAACTCTAATAGCGCTTAGCCTAAAAACTGATTTCACCTTCTTGGCATATGTTTTTTGACGCAGGGCTGTTCCCATATAGGCGCCGCCTACATCATTACTGACTGGCTTACTTTAGCCAGGAGCGCTCTGCTACTCTGACTAGGGCCACCGATGTTTGCCATGATTCTCGCTAAAGCCGCTGTCACTGCAGCCGTCTTACAGGCTTTTCTGTATGCGTCTCATTAATCCGGGAAATTTCTTTCGCAACGATCGTCACGGCAATATCGTCCGCAATACCCTCCTTCCTTTGGCAGTGGGAGGTGTAATACCCCATCGTACAGCACATTCCATAATAATGGGCCTAATACGGAGCCTTGTGGCACTCCGCCCGTCACAACGTAGTGTTTGGGACCTTCGTCCGTGTCGTACAATAGCAGTCTGTCAGACAGGTAGCTATTTATTATGCGCAGTAGATAGGCCGGTGTTTCCTTCGCCTCCAATGCTCTCATAATGTGTGGCCAGTATGCCGAGTTGAAAGCATTTTGTACATCAAATGTGACAACAGCTCAATATTTCTTATCGCCATATATCCATCTGGCGCCCTCTATGGCCTTGCCCGCAGTGCCCGTCAATTTTCCAATTGTGTCTATGGTGGAACGATGTTTCCTAAAGCCAAATTGATTTTCAGACAAGCCAGGCGTCTCACCTTCTAGGTGATGTTCCAGACGTGTGCAAATCAGCCTCTCCAGTATTTTCGCCATCGTGTCGATCATGCAAAGTGGCCGGTACGCATTCGGCTCACCCGCCGGTTTATTCGGCTTCTGAAGTAGGAACAGGCGTTGCTTCTTCCATACTTTCGGAAATACTTCTGTCATTCATGCACCGCGTATAAGCTCAGCGAAAATCTTCGGGTTATGTTTAATAGCGATCTTAAGCGCCTTGTTCGGGATACCATCAAGTCCAGGCGCCTTTGCGTTACCGAACCTCTCCGCCGCCATGATTACCTCCGCTTCGTCGATTTGAACTGCTTCCACTACAGCGGGTGTCACCATACTTGGTTGCTGTTCTTGCTCTGGGAAAAGCGTTTTTACCACCTTCTCTAGGAGGACAGGGCAGGTTGGTGCTTGACCTCTACCACCTCTGACCTTTTTCATGACTATTTTGTACGCGTCACCCCACGGGTTCTCATCCACCTTTTCACAAAGTTCTTTGAAGCTTATTGACTTGCTTCTTTTGATCGCTTTTTTAAACTCCTTGCGTTTTCTCTTGAAGCATTCTCGTAGTCTTGCATGCTCTGCCGTACCCTGGCTTCTTTGGGAGAGTCGTCTTGCTTTATGACATTCGCTTCTTAGTGTATTAATCTCCTCATTCCACCAGTATGCGGGCTTTCTTGCAGTATTTTGTCTTTTCCTGCACATGGCGGCATCGCAGGCTTTGCTTACGTATTTCGCCAGGATGCTGGCTTGCCGGTCCACGTCATCCGAGCTGTCCGGGTTCCCGTCTAGCATGAGTCTGAAGATTTCCTCATCTAGTGTTTCCACCCTCCACCCTTTCGTCTGTGTTTTGTGCAGGCTCCCTATAATCTGCGCATGCTTGCGGATTTCCATCATAATAGCAAGGTGGTCGCTATGTGTGTAAAAGTCGCACACCCGCCAACTTGCTGGCGAACGCTATGTCAATTATTGATCCGCGACCGTTTTTCTCGAACGTATTCCTTCCGCCGGTATTGAGTAACACCGCGTCTAGCAAGGAGAACGCCTTAAGCAAAGCATCACCCCACCTATTTGTATAGCTGCAGGCCCATTCCTTGGCCCACGCATTGAAGTCACCTGCTAACACATTTGGCGTTGTAGTTCGGGTTTCTTGAACTAGATTATCCAGGATCCTTTCATAGTCTACTTGTGTTACACTCGGCGGAA